ATTGAGCCATTTAAACTTCTAAATGGGGCTGTGTTAGGTACAAGTAGGCTACCTGAAGTCGACATTGAATGTCTCGTTGGATTTGTAGTGTTGTCAACTTATTCTTAAAACATATCATATCATTTAAGTCATTATTTGGACAAAGTGAGGTTTTTTAATGGCAAAGGTCTCATGTGACCACTTGGGTTTGGACAGCATTTTTCAAAGGTTGGTTCCTTTTTGCTTAAATACAAAACAGATGTTCTTAGAGAAACATGCTCATATTTCTCAAAGCAAAAAAATAAACTTTTGCCATCAGTAACAACACCAAGGTATTTTGTGGAAGCATTTCAAACACCCAGCTGTCTGTTACTACTTGCTAATGTTAGAACAGTTGCACAACCTGAAGAAAAAAACTCATTAAACTTGCTATGTAGAAGGTCGAGTTACAGCACTGTCTGTGGCTTCAGCAGAAACCTGTGTGCTGGCTGTAAGAAGGATGAAACATGTGACCCTGAATGTGTCACTGTCGACCCCTGTGGGCTTATTTGTCTTTATCTTAAACATCAGCAATTACCATCATCATGATTTCCACCAGCATCATCATCTGCCGGGGGGTGTTTTTTTTTTTTTTTTTTTGGTTGACAGTGTCAAAGTTGGCCAATGGGCTCTTTCCATTCCCACATAATGCAAACATTCCACGACATTCCACGACATTCGGGAATGCTGCAGAGTGATGGTTCCCATGGAAATGGAACGCTGAGAAGATTCCATCATGTGACTGTTGTTACACTAGGTACCAAAGATAGTCATTAGAAACAGGCTCTTTGGTTTAATAATAATGGAGAAGTGACAGCAGAGCTATTTTTAATCTTTATTTTTATTCAGGAGATGCTGACTGATCAACATCTTTACTGGAACAGTTGTAACTTTTAGACTTGCAGGATGTAGGGCAGAAGTTGATGCTGTACTCGGTTTCTGTCAGCACACTTATTCCTCACAGTGCTGACAATGAACCACAGAGAATCAGGACATTTGTTGCTCTGTATCTGGGAAATAACACTGCTGAGACTGATTGAGACAGCTGATTGCCAGTTGATGAGGGTGGGGGTTACTGAGGTTATGTTGATGGATGCACAGATTGTGATATTCTGGGCTGATACTGATGTTTTGTTTGTTTTTGTTTTGTTGTAGTTAGTTGTTCCCCATTTTGTGCCATGGAAACAAAGAAATCTTCCTTCAAAAGAATAACATAACTGAGCAGAATGTTTAAAAGTCTTTCAGCCCTTCATTATACTGTCTTTGAGAACTAATTCAATCACACGCATTAGTGAAACAACCTTTTCCAATGCTGGGAAAAAGTCAACAAATTTCTCTTTCAGACAAATTTATTCAAGTTTCTTGCCAAATACTACATTTTACAAGATTACACTTGAACACACTTTAAACACACGTCAGATCTTGATGAATTAATTGTTCAAGTTGAACATCTTTACTGATACACACTGTATAATTTGTTGAAAGCAAAATGACATATCATCGGTCAATGGAAACCAAAATCATCAACCCACTGAGGGCTGGATTTAAAAGACTCCGAAAATCAAAGTAGAAAATTAAAATCACAGGCTGATCCAACTTTTGTGAATTTTACCGGAAGTATGGATGTGCCATCCTGGAGGAGCTGGACTACCTGTGCAACCTGATTGGGCCTTGTGCTACCACTAGTGACGAGGACACTAGCAGAAGACACAACTAGAGAAGACTCAGTCAGGAAGATAAGAGCAACTGTCTGTGGACACCACATGTAAAACCATTCCCTTTTTGGGGGTTGTCTTGCTTTTGCCTCTCCATTGCACCTGTTGTCACTTTGATTTGCACCAAAGCAGCTGAAACTGATTCACAATCACTTGTGTTTCCTAAATGGACACATTGATATCTCTGAAGTTTAACTGACTTGCTGTTATACTGTGACCATTAAGTGTTCCCTTATTTTTTGCCCAATACTTATTTTTACGAAATAGAGCTTGAATGCCCTATAATATAACTCAGTGCAGCCTTTGTCAACTGTTCATTGACAACAGTCATCTTTGAGCAAGGCAAAAATTGTCCGATATCAATGTAGTGTATGGCCAGTAGATTGGTGCATCCCTAGCTCTTTCCTGTACTGGAGTGTACTGGAGTGCTGGATGTAGCACACTGAGCAATGAAGGTTTGTCACAGAAATGTGAAGTGCATGAGCCTAAACTGGTGTGATTTAAACCAGTGATTCCCAACTGGTCCAGCCACAAGTCCATATTTCTCCTTAGCCATTAGTTCAAGGTCCACACAGATCAATATATTCAGCGTCATACTTGTGTTGGCCGTGTCGTCGAGCTAGTTTGCTTTCTCTGTGACGTAGCTGTTAGTTGCTCACTTTACATCAGGGGATGACACTTCAAAATAAAGTTCTGTGCCAGAAATAAAAAGTAAGTGTACTAGACATGTTTGCAAGTCACTTGTGGTCCATTCAGAATGGACTCGGGACCCACCAGTTGGGAACCACTGATTTAGATATGCTGATGTGATCACTGTCAATCAGCCAGTCATCTGGCTTCTGGTGTAGTTTTATCTCTCGTATCATCGTCTATCTCAGTTACCCTTATTGTTGCTTGACTGAAGATGTATTGAATCATGACACAACTGTTATGTGACATATTGTGATTATATCGAATTGTTATGTGGAGTCAAAAACCTAAAATGTGTGTCTCACTTGGACATTAGATTGAGCGAGAAATGTATGAGTTGTGTTTTTTGGGTGAACTGTTAAAAGACAGGAAGAGGGCCAATCATCCTGTTAAAGCCTTAAAGTCAACGTGACTGAACGAGGAGATGCATCTAACCGTCCAGATGTTACTGCTACATCACACACACTCTCTCACAAACACACACACACACACACACACACACACTCACAGCTCAAACATCTGCTTCATTTACTTGCTCAGAGTACTGAGGACTGAAAGTAGAAAGTTGTAATGCGCGTGTGGATTTAAACTCCATGTGGTGTGCAATCACCAGGTCAGCCATAAAAAAACACAGTGACAGATGCTCTGTGTGTGTATGTCTTTGCGTGTGTCTCTGTATGGATGTGTATGAGCATATGTGTGTCCATGTATGTACGGTATGTGTGTGTTACAGTTGTGTAACAGTTCTGTTCTTAGCAGAAGGTCTTAGTGTTCTGGTTCCCCGGCAAAAAAAAAAAGAAATCAAAGCAAAGTGTCTGATTAGGGACGAATCTATTTGGTGGGTCACAGAGATGGTTTTGTGTGTGTGTTTACAGTACTGGAGAAACATCTGTTTGTGTGTGGTGTTCATGGATGTTGGCCTAAATGTGCTGAGGAGCTGTGTGGAGAATGAGCCCTCTGTCTTTATTTGTCATGAGATTATGCATGCGCCCTATATAGAAATGTGAGAGTGTGGATTTAATAATGCACGCTGCACATAACGTGAAATTTTAGTGTGTGGCGGCACCGTGTGTGTGTGTGTGTGTGTGAGAGACTCTATGCTGATGTTGTAATGTTATGTAACTGTCGTGATGTCAGCAAGTTGAGCTCCTTGGCCTGCTTTCATGTCGAGGTCTGTTGTTTTAATCCACAAGGTCAACCTAGCGGCACAACCTGGTTCATAACCCGACCTTCAGCAGACAGTCACAGAGAGACACACACACAATTAGACACACACACGCAGCCTCAGCAAATTGTACAGCTTGGAAACAAAAAGATGCAAAACACAGCGTTTCTTTTTAATCACATAAAGGACTAAATTCCCTACAAAAATGATCTTCATTTAATTTGAGCATTATTTCATTTTATTTGTCAACAGGAGACAGTGGGATGTGTGTGTGTGTGTTGATTTTAATGAAGCTTTTTTCTGTTTGCTCAAAGGGACAGTTCACCCTAAAATCAAAATTAAGTATTTTTCCTCTTACCTTTAGTGCTACTTATCAATCTAGATTGTTTTGGTGTGAGTTGCTGAGTGTTGGAGATATCAGCCGTAGAGATGTCTGCCTTCTCTCTGTTTTAATAGAACCAGATGACTCTCCATGACTCTCTCTGGTTGTGCTCAAAGTGCCAAAAACATACATTTGAAAAACTTAACATCAATGTCTCTTTCCAGAAATCATGGCCTGGTTACTCAATATAATCCACAGAGCTTGTTGTGAGCAGTTTGATGTAAGAACTGTTTTCTGTCTATCCAGCCACACCTGCCAACCATATCACTGCGCAGAAGGAAGCGTACATCTACTCATGGACGAGAGGATTGATGTAAATATTAATGACGTTTTCCTTGACTGAGCTGTAAATAAAATAATAATTTAATAGTATATAAAATAACCATTTACTGAGCTAGCAGTAGATGCACACCTCCTTCTATGTGGTGATACAGTTGGCCGGTGTAGTTTGGTAGAAAGAAAATAGTTCCTATATGAAACTGCTCACAACAAGGTCTGTGGATCATGTTTTCTGGAAAATAAACATTACTGTTGTATTGAGCACCACAAGCTGAGTGCCATCATGAGTTCTTCTTTTCCTCAGCAGCAGTTTATGGAGTTTGAGCTGCAGGGTGGATAATTGATCAGTTGATCCAATCAGAGCTGATCAGATTAGATCAACGGATGAGAGGAGCAGCTGCTGCATAGGAGAGTGAAAGCAAACTTTTAAATCCAGCAGATTGAGCGGTTAAGTTTCACTTTCACTGCGCCTTCTGTTCTGCTGCTCCGTCTGTGGCACTGTGACATAGTGGCCTAATGAACAACCACACTGTATTTATATTCCAGCAGCGCACCTCATGAACAATCCAGCTACAAACATAGAAAATCTAAACGTGGCGGTGGAGGTTTTAATCGTGGCAGGCTGCCACAAATAAATGAATGTGTGGGAAACCCTTGAATGTTTCCTCTGGCATCTTTATTCATGAATTACTGGAGTGAGAGCGACACCCTTTATTAACCTCTCTATCTGTCTTTGTGTCTTTCTCTGTAGGACTCGAAACCTCTCGGGAGGCTCTCCCAGACCTCGACACACCAAAAAGATCCACTTCATCAAAAACATGAAACAGTACGACACGAGAGGCAGCAGGTGGGACACACACATTGTTGTGTAGTTACTTTTGTCTGTAACATCAAAGCTTTACAGACAAGAAATATTTATGTTCAATAATAAAGACTAAAATCAGTGATATAAACTTTATCGTGATGTCTTTAAAGTCCAATCCTGTGACCTGTCCTACGTAGTGGTGGGTTTTGTCACTTGTTACAGGTGAAAGTTGAAAGTAATTCACACCCTCTGTTCCTCTGCTGCAGCCAAGTCTTTGTCCAGGTGTAGACGGTGTTGAGCAGCATTTTGATCCCTGCTGTCACAGGATGTACAGTTACAGAACAGCACCAAATCACAGCAAGTTCAGGGCAGGGGGCACAGGCTTTTGTAAACTGTCTGTTAAGTTTAAAAAAAAAAAATCAATAAAGGTACAGACATTTTAAAACAGCAGCAAATCCTGTGCAATTTTAAATTTTGCTCAAATTTATGTTTCTCATTGTGAGACCTGTCTTGTCAAGAGCTATAACTCCTGCTCGGGTCTCCCAAGGATAATCGAGAGAGAGCTACATTTTCTGCAGTAACTCAATCCAGTATTGTCCAGCTACAGTGGACTTACCCTAACCCTCCCTGTGGAGTTATTCTGAACACATCCAACAACAAAATATCTAAAATATTTTCATTTTAGACCACAAACTATTTCCTAACCTAAAATATTATGTTTTCTAATGCTTGTTTGGAGGGTTTTCTTAAAGGTTGCAGGGATCATAAGTTTAATTTTCCATCATGGCTCAGTCTCTTTAAATCTGAGCTGACGTACAGAAGTCTGCAGCCTTTACTCTATAGGAGGAGAGGAAGTGAGCTGTTGGTTTGTCTTGTGGACGCTGGACAGTGTCATTCTCTCCAGCTCTTCCTCTATTGTATTCTATTCTCGGCCTTCCTTGCAAAGTGTATAAATCAGACCTCTGGGTTAGAAGAGCACAGGCCTGCTCATCAGATAATAATAGACTGAGGGCTGATTGTTTTAGAATAGATCCAGCTAAGAGCAGCAGAGCTGTTGTTTGTCATTCAGCCAAGTCCCCTTGTCATCATGGAGTGGAGACAGGAGCTTACAGAAGCAAGAAGAAGTGTTAGGGTTCCCCTGCCTCAGACTCTGGGTCGTAACTCTGGGAGATTTTAAATGAGTCACAAAGAGGTCGCCAATAAAAAGTATAAATTTCCTCCTTGGTTGCTTCCAGCAGTGTAACAATTTTTCAGTGTCGTTGTCAAAGAAGAATTCAACATAAAATACTTGATAAAGTACAGCTATTTTCATGGGTGTAAATTCACCTAAATGTTTCCTTTTCTGTTCATGCCCCGTTAAATGTCTGACCTCAACTATATTGACTTGAATCTGTGCAAAGTTTGTCACCAGAGAGGTGTTTTCACTTTCCTCCACTGAAGGGGGCGATGTTTGTGCACTTCCTAAAATGTGATATTCAAACGTACGCTGGGCAACATAGATTAGGTACGTCAATAATACAAAAGCCAATCGCTGTCTTATACAGGAAACACATATCGATAAGGGACCAGACTTCAACAAAACACACAGCATTCTGATTCATCCTATAGTCACCGATTTCGATGCACAACAGACTCCTCAACTGAATTTCTCAATGAGGGATGAAGGGCCTGTCCCAATTCCTTTTTACGTGTAGGGGTAGGGGGCATTATGAGGGGTAGTGGGTATGAAACTAGCCCTTCGGAGCAAGGGATTTCAGATGCTAACTTGCCAGCGATGGGTAGACGTTGCCATGGCTACCACCGAGCAAGAGATGGGGAAAAAAGTTCATCCATAGCTAACGTTACCGTCGTCTGGTTGCTTGTTAGCTAGCTAGCTAGTTCGCACTATCTGGCGTCTATCATCTGTCCTGTTCTGCAAAATTGTCAGATTTTTCACATTACGATAACACGCCAGTTAGTATAACTATGCTGCCTCGTTATGTTAGCTGGTTAGCTAGCTAGCTAGCAGAAGTCCCCTGTCGTCTGTCATTCATCAAACGAAGCATGATGAATACAGCAAACACGATAGGTAGGATGAACTCAACTGGAGACTCCATTGTAGATGCCGGTTGGAAATGTAGATGGCTCGCAGCTTCCTGTTTAAAATAGTAACGTATGCGTGAATGTAACCGATGCAGTGATGTAGTGAGCGGTGTCCCAATTCATAGGGAAAGATTTCAATCCCTACCCCTCATTGCTTCATTTCGAGGGCCACAGGGTAGTGGGCAAGGGGGGGTATTGGGATTGGGCCGAGGAGTAGATGTGCTTTTGGGAAAACCATATTAAATAGGGCTGGGTATTGCCATTGATTTCCAATTTGATTTGATTCAATTCAATTGGGGATATTTCAGTCACAGTATCAACTATTGCTAGAATGTGAAAGAGATTCTCTGAGAACAAATACTGTAAATTTTACAAGGAATTATTTTTTAAAAAAATAAATAAAACAGAACAGGAATAAAACTGAATATTTAATAACTAAATGTTTCTTGTGCAGCACCAGTGATGTTGAAACAGCAAAGTCACAATATAAACAAATTTCATTGGACACAAATCACTGCCCTTGTGGTTGAGTTTCGCCTGTTTCATTCCGTCAATATCACGTTTTTAAACAAACATTTAGATAATCCATTATTGACATTTGTAAATCAATGTTGAATCGACCACATCCGCATCACGATGCATCCAAGAATGGTTTATTTCCCGACACCTAGCTGTGCACATGTCATAAATCTGTCAGCAAAGTGAGTTAGAATGAAATAAAAACAGTCTACAGTTTAAAAGCACTGCTGCAGAGCATACATCGTGTGAGGTAATGAATTTTACTCAGATAAATAAACGTTAATAACATAAAGTCACTGGTCACAGTTACTGTATTGGACATGGCTGAATTTTTTGACACTTTAGTGTTTTCTGCGTTGATGTAGCATTTATTTAAAGCAACACAATGGAGGATTGCGCTTTTTACCGAAAAACGGCATTGTTTGTTACAACTGTCGCAAAAATCTTGCGCTTGTTACTGTAAGTAAGTGCGATAAAACCTCTGCCAGCCAAGCCAATAGTTTATCAATACATGTGATCCATATTTCAATCCGCTCTGTCCGCAGTCTCTCATTCACCGCTATTACGATTTGCAATTGCGGTCGACACAAGCACATCACGCTCGCGGTGCTAACAGCAAACTGTTAAAGACAAACTAAAATGAAAGCTGTGTGTATGTAGGCTTACACTTTATCTTTAAATGTACCTGAGGCAGCCGACCTGCAGACCGTGAGTCTTACGAGTCCAGCAGTAACAGCACCAGGTCACCATCGGTCGGGCATCCCTCCTCCTCTTTCAGCTCTCACCAGCAGGCCAATATTAATCCTTGTTTGAACTCTTGTTTTATCACCCTCCCGTTTTCTTTTCTTTGTCTCCTCGGACAACACCTTCACCTTCTTCCTTTTCTTTGTCGCTTCAGCCATGACAACCACATCTAACTTCGCTCACTTTGGTTCGGCTACGCTACTCTAGAGAGAGGAGGAGGATATGACGTATGCTGTAAAGCAGCCAAATTTTGTGGTCCCTTCTGTGTCCGGGTTCCTAACCAAATCCCAAAGCTGCATAGTGCCAGTGCAAGTGAAACAGACGCTCTCAAGCAATGACGGAGGTGTCATCCATCCTGTTGTGAGTTGATGTACCATCACAAGGATCTTGGATATATATTTTGAGGGCTCAAAAACTCCATTGTGTCGCTTTAATAAGTCCTAACCGTCTTTAGATGTTTGCTTTTTTGACTTTGGTTTTCGTGTGGATTTCTTTGTGTAGCTCAGTAGTTACGACCCCCGGCCTCTCCTGATCCCAGTGGGATTAGTCTGATGTTTGTTCTTTCATATGATGGCAGAATAATGTGCTCCCAGTGTTTGTGAAATGTGTGGTAAATAATAAATGGATGAGTGGAGGGGACAGTATCCCCAGCAGAGTCACGTTTCCAGCAGGCCTGTTGTGATGCTTGTGCTGTTTCCACTGAACTCCCTGGCGACTTCCTGCCCTTCACTTTCCCATGCATCACAGGGAACAAGCTGTGTGTGTAACCAACAACAGCATTAAATCCAAACTCATAATCTGTCTGATGGGATGATGGAGGAGGAGGAGGAGGAGGAGGAGGGGCAGCAGGGACAGAAGAGGACAGTCTGTTTTTTCAGTTCGTAAGATGTGTCCAAATTTAAAGTAATGATTTATTTACAGAAAAATCTCACATTGATGTCCAATTTTCCAGCAGACAGCTACATATTTAGCTCTTGTGAGAACTAAACTTTGAACCCCGGCTCTTCATGTAGATTCTTTGTCGCCTCCTTTGAATGGTAAATCACTTTATAAAACAGTCCACCGCGTGGGATGATGTATTACAGTCAAGATGGCATTGTCTCTGTTTATTCTAGGATAAATCCTCTGCTCAGTTGGATCCTCATTAAAATGTACTGTATGTTTGAGGGGGATCATGTCATGCCTGTAAAAATAGCCACAGTGTTTGGATTAACTTTCTGGGGCCTTTCTGCTTCATATCTTTCTCCCAGTGTGACTTTCTAACCAAACTACAGAATATAAGACTTAATATAAGTGAGAGCTGCATCTTTTCAAAGATAAGATACTGTCGTTTAGTCCGATGCAGGGGTTTCAAACATTACCCCCCCCCCCCGCGGGACGATGTTTGACAAGATCTCATCCGGCTCTTTAACTGTATGGAAGAGATTGTGCCTGCAACAATACTCTTGTCCTCCAGTTCCGTCAGCAGTCTATTCTATCAGCCGTCTCCCTTCCATCAATCAGCTGCTCCATCAGTTGATTGAGCTGTAGCTGGGATGTGAGCTGAGCTTGACACTGTGGCCTGCCTGAGCTAACGGTATGCCCAGTGTGTGGGAGCTACCCGTCTTTGTAGCTGTACGGACACACAGCACAGTCCTCCACTGCAGGTTTTAAGATCTAAGTTTGCTCCTTTAAAGCTCAGATTTTATTTGCTCATATTGTTTAATCCGGGTTATGTAACTACTTTAGTAGATTTACTGTCTTCTCTGCCAGAGCGGATTGGTGTCTTAGTTTGATTTGGCTAAATTTGCTTCTGTTGCTGGTCCCTGTGACAGTCTCAGGATTGACCCTGTTCTCTGTGGAGCCCAAACAGTGTGTGGCCTGTTTTCAGTGTTTAATGCTGTCAGGGAAACGTAAGGTCATTTATTCAAGGTCTCCTAGTGGCTGCATATAAGACTATAGTGTGTATATATAGAAGATGATTCATCACAAACATGATACACTCAGAGATAAGTGTGTTTATGTTTTCACACACTGTGAATCATCTCCCAGTCTCTTTGGTGCCCGAGCCAAAGATAATGACTGTAAACATTTTTCCTCTGAGACACAAACCAGGCGAGCATCGTGCAGTCTCTGCTCCGCAGGGGTTTACACTCCAATAAAAAATACACGCATGCTCTGCTCCTTTGAAAGCCCATTATTATAAGTTGTTATTAAGCAGAGTCTCTGGTAAAGGTTCAGGTGGAACACTTGGGTCAATTAGGAAAGTGGCAAATGTGTGTTTTTATGTGTTGCCAAAACATTCAAGTCCCTGCTGAAGAGATGTATAATCCCTTCAAAATAAAAATCCTTCCCTAAGTTTCCTTATAATGACTGTAGCTTTGTGTTGGAGCTCAGCACTTCTACTGGTTTTATTTCCACCTACTGAAAATGTGCTCACGCAATAGTACTATGAGGTACTGCCAGATGTCTCACATGTTCTCAGCACAGTTTTATTGGGTGTGAACTTGAGAAAAAAGACAAATGGTTTTCACAATAAACGTGACTGGGTATCAGCAATGCTCTGAAAAAGAAATGTGCCTTTTAGTCGTCAAACACACATCTGTTCACTGGAGATTTTCACAGATGAGGCGGGTGTGAAAAACGATTGACAGTGGAAGAACAAGTGAAAAAGGAAAAACTGTTACAAAATCAAACCAGCGTTAAATCAGTTTACTTCAGCTATGATTTTTATTGTCATGCAGTACAAAATAAAATAAAGAGCCAATATGATAAATGACTGCAACAAAGTAGAACAAGGATCAGATAAAATACCAGGCTGAGAGATGGTTCGTGGTTATGGACATGGAAATGGTAACTGGTAATTAGTTACACGTAATATTCAGAAGTCTGTATCTCTGATCAGAGGGGCAAAACCACCTAAAGTCAATATCACTATTAATTTTCACATTTACCTTATGAACTACGTGTTTCCTTTTGAGTGTAGAAATAATGATTACTTAAGAGAACGTACATTCCATGAAATGGTTCATCTAAACCACTGGTTTTAAAACTTTTTGGGCCTAAGGCACACCAAAGGGCAAGCCAAAATCTCAAGGCACACCTGTATTGATTTCTGTGCACAACTTTTTGTATAGGCCCAGTTGAATATTGCAATTGACCTATGGCTAAGCCACGCCCCCCTCCACTCACTCAGACAAACTATCAACATTCAGTGACCTGGCGGGCGCTATGGCAGGTGTCACAGTACACGGCATTTCACAGGAGGCAATTGATGATTTTTGGGGACATAACGATCAGATGTCATTGAGAAGTAACCAAAAGGGCCTAAACTACGCATTGGAGGGATATATTCATCATTTTATTGTTGAGAAGGTTGATGAAAAGCTTAAATTACAAGCCAAAATTTACAGATCACAGTGTACGCTTGTGAACCTCATCTCGTTGCCGTCGCCATCAAAGACAACAAGTTAAAGTGCCACTGAAGTTAAGGTTTTTGACTCAGAATATGAGAAAAGGATAACGGCCTTTTTACCATCTTTACCAAGAGTGTCTCTCCGTTAGTTTGGTGCTACAGTATTTACACTGAATCATTCAGCATAACGTTTGCCAACCTTTGTTATCTCTGCCATTACAGATAAGTTAATGAAGCTAAGCTCCAGAAGTTAACGTTAGCTTAACTAGAGCCCTTTGGACAACAGCTAACAATGGTGTACGATCACCAAAGTACAAAACTAGAACAAAATAGAACAAAATAGGCTATTCGAATTTTGACGTTTCCATCAGAATTTTCCGATGCGATACTTCTAGATGCGCATCTAAACAGGCTGATGGAAACATGGCTTGTGATTGGTCAGTTTCTTTGCAGGCCTGCAGCTGCCAGAGAGAATGGATTTTTTTGGTTCCTTTTGCTCTTCACATTGTGTAGCTAGCACTATGGGCCATAACCACCATCTAAATGATGTTAATAATAATGATCAGTCTTTCTAAACGTAGACCATAGCTTTAAACAAATCAGTTGCCTGCATCCAGGCGCTGTCTCCATGTCACACATAAGACTACAACTACCAAGAAGAACACCAACACGCTGTGATCCACCTCACACACAAACTAGCAAACAAACACTCACCTGACACAATCAAGCAGAGCTCTACTGCACGTGTGCTACTGCACTCATTTCATTCATCTCACAGGCTGCTTTAGCGTAGCACATGCAACATATAGACCGATGTCACACTGCAGACTCATGAACAGACAGATTAAACAGAGGAGCAGCTCTGTGTCTCTCTGAGTGTTGATGGAGAACTTGTGAGTGAGTGAGGGGGCAGAGCTGTGCAGAGAGTGTGACAGAGGAGAGATGAACACTGGCACATGCTATGAGGCGCAACTTGACCCTATATCAATATAAACAGTGTTGTCTAAATCTATATCTTGCTTTAAAATCTATCAATATATCATACAGAGTCTTAATATCACCACACCCTAATTCCTTTACTGCTCAACAGTAATATATTACATTACTTTTGTAATGTGTTACCCCCAACACTGCTCATGAAATGGACTGCAGGCTCATCATTAACCGTTGCCTGTGCTAGAATATGGTAACAACCACAATAAAGTCATGGAGAAGTCCAGAAAAACATGTACACAAGTACAAATAATTTTTAAAAGGCAGGGTTTTCTGTTGTAGTTCAGGGGTGGGTGACAGCCTGCATGAAAGGATGAATCCATTGAATGTATCAGTATGACTAAAATTAGTTTGGTTTGAGAGTCTAAATGTCACTTTTGATCAACTGTACATAGCTACTTTGGAGTTTTCTTATTGTTTTATTGACTACAAACATGTGATAAGGCAAACTGCTGCTCACCGGAGCAATGTTGCCAAGTTGATTCCTGTTTTTTTATCTATAATCAGTAAACAAGACAAATGTTATAATGACGTAACCTCTAACGTGTGTGTGTGTTTCAGGATCGTGCTGATCTGTGCAAAGAGATCTCTGTGTGCTGCCTTCTCTGTTCTGCCCTACGGAGAAAGCTTCTACCTCAGGTAATCAACACACACACACACACACACACACACACACACACACACCTTAAGGTCAGTGTCAAGCTGAATGAAAGAGCAGGAGGAGAAGGAGAAAGGGAGGAAGAGCTGTTTCTCAGGACCTCCGAATAACAAACAAGGAGGAGGAGGGGGTCATTATGATTTTCCCATGTGCCCCCAGAGCCTCCTCCTGACCTGAGGACTTCTTGGCTGGTCACACACACACAGTCACACACACACACACACACACACACACACACACACAAACACACACAGACGTAATCACATATAAACTTCCCCACAGATAGACACTGAAGTCTTTACAGACACATTTACAGATAAACAAGAAGCAGAACATACACTTATCACGTTTGCCTATTCTCTCTGACTCTGACACACACACACACACACACACACACTGATATACTGTATAAACACACAGCTGAAAATACAGATGTTATTATAGTTATGTAAGCTCCTCCTAATCCCTTTCTCTCCATCATGTTCACACACACACACACACACACACACACAGTGTCAGATGATAATCTACAGCAGCCCTTGTGCATGCTTACCATCACGTTACGCTCACACTGCACATGCACATTGTAGGAAGTATCAGTGTACAGGAAAAAATTAATCTGTTATGTGCACACAGATTATAATAAACACACAAATAAGAATTGCTCCATCCTTCTTTATTGTGCACACACACACACACACAGTAGTTGAGGCTCTCTGAGTATCACTGGTCTTCTTGGTGTTTGTGTTTTCCCACAGAGGAAGTGAGCTCAGGCATCACACGTCTAGCTTTATCTTGTAGCAGATGCTGCTGTGGTTTGTAACTGTGATCGTTAAAGCAGAGCCTGTGGCTGTGGCGGGAAGTGACCTTTGACCTTTAACTCACTGGACGCTACAAGTTCCACTCTGTCACCTTGAAAGCTAAAAGCAGGGACACGTAGGGAGGATGATGACACTTTGAAAAACTTGTGTATCTGCATAGTTTTATCTGTGATTATCACAGACGATTGTGGATTATCTAAATTGTCCGTTGTGTCTATGTGTCAGCCCTGTGATAGTCTGGTGACTTGTCCACGATGTGGGCTCGGATTGGCTCCAGCCCCCTTGTGAACCCTAACAGGAAAAGTGATTACAGAAAATTAATGAATGAATAAATACTGTAGTATTCTATGTTGAAAATTAAGGCGTACTCTTTTTTTTGTCAAACTAGACGAGACATCTAAGGATCTTTTCACACCTGAAAGTCAGAACTAATTTTTTGCATTTTTCTTATATTGTATCAGATCCAGTTAGTTTTGGTTTCACATTGCAATTATGTGAGCAAACTAAAAAACTATGTATGACACACCTACTTTCTGTCATCAGCACTTGATGAGCTGTGCCTCCCTGTACTGGACATCGATTGGTTTTCAGACAAGCTCTCCCTTTCTCTATCATCCTCTCTGAAGATAATTTAGTGTCTGAGTTTTTGTGAATTTTTCTGACTGACTGAATTCGTCATCTACTCAGGAGAGAACGAGACGAGTTCAAGAATTGAACTGAACCATGGTCCGGTGTGACCTCGACTGAGACCTCTGCTTTTTGTCAGACCAAGATTTCACAAAAGTCTAGACCAAAGGAGGAGAGTGTGAAAGGGCCCTCAGCTCCATTAGCAGACCCTAGAAACTGTGCAGTTCACAACACCCCAAGATTAGAAAAATTTAGTTGTTTTTAGAGTGTGCTAGTGTTAAAAATGTGAAGTTTGTCTTGAAAGTAGCGTTGAAGGGAAGGTCAATTATTTAAAAGATTTAGATTTTTCTTTCTTTCTACAAGTGGAAAGGTTTTGGTATTTTGGAGGTGCCAGAGGAAATTTCAGGAGGTCACTAAAATCAGTAGGATCCTCTTCTAGTTTTAACCTCATTTGTATTTGATTATTTTTTGTCAGTCTTTAGCCCCTTTTACACTGCCAGATTTTCCGTGAATTTTGGGCCGATTTGCCGCCAAGCTGCGAGCGTTTAGACACACAGAGGCGGAAAGGCGGGTTTATCCAAGGTGCCCAGTTTTCCCCCTCGTAGGGTAGTTATATTGGCCAACCCCTTCCTCCAACGGGAGGGGCTGTTGAAGACTTGTGGGAGGAGCCGTTGATGGCGCCGCACGTGCGAGCCACTGGCGGTGGATAAACAGGAAACAGCTGATAGCAGGAATTAGCGAGCGGCTAGTAGCAAGAGGGAAACACAAACCTGACAGACACTGTAAAGATGAGCAACTGGGGAGACAGGGAATTGCGCGCCCTCCTTGTCCTCGCAAACGAAGAGGCCATGAACTGTCAGATGACGGGGACGCTGAGGAATGGGCCGATTTACGAGAGAATCGCCGAAGGACTGACCAGCCTTGGCTTCCCTCCCACGTCACTGTTTACGTCACACGCTGAGCTACACGTTTTGTTACTTGCTCACGCCCCCCATTGCCCCGAAAAAGGCGCATTCTGTATAGACAAAAGTAGGTAGGTGGCAATGTCAGTTTTGTAAAATGATCACATGTTCGACAATTACATCACTTTATCAGTCTCTCACATCTATTTCTAGATCTAGATTTCAATATCATCTTAGATTTTAGATCATAATATCATTATCAGAATGAGTAAAACTTTATTGATCTCCGTGGGGAAATTGTGGTTGATTACAGACAGTTGCTCTGATGCCAAACGTAGAGAATTAAAGAAGTAGAAATAAGAAGTTTAAGTAAGAAGTATGTACAAATATGAAAATAAAATATGTGCAATATGCTACAGTGTTAACACTAGTATGTAAAATATGTGCTGAGGATGTAAAGTGTGTAAAAAATATATAAAAATATGTACCTTATGCTACAATACACTGTACAGAAGAAATATATAAAATATGTTAAATATATACATTCAGAAGTGAAAGTTTACAGTGAAATGATGTGATTTTCTGAACACACCAGACTTAAGTAGCTGTTTTTTTATGTGCCTTTACCCACTCAATCATATTATTCACATCACTGATGATAAGTTATCAAAAATCTCATTGTGTAAATATTTTCTGAAAGCATTAATAATCAATCGATATCCAAGTATTTGGTCCCTCCGCTGAGCCCTGATTGGTTACAGAGAGATAACAATGGCCCTGACACACATTACATTTCCTAACTCCTGACTCCTCTCTGACAAGATTCGTTTTTCAAGATGCTACCAGACAGCGACTTGTGACTAATCCAAACTGCCGCAGTGCTCTGAATCAGATGAATCATGTTGTGAATCTTTTATTTGAGCTGTCCTGAATTTAAATTCCTGTTGCTGAACCTGCTGCCAGGAATGACTCTGTTCTCCAGTCACTTTAACCACCACTGTCTCTGTCTCTCTCCCCCTTTAGTGACCCTATGTTAAACCACCCCAGGAGGAGGCACTCGTCTGGAAACATCTCCACCACCCTGGAGATGCTGCCGGGGCTGGAGGGCTTTCAACTGGACACCTACGGCAGGGTAGATAAACACACAACCACTGACACACATTCAGATCGCACACAGGGAGAGTTTAGTGTGTTCAGATCCTGTTCATTCATCTGTCTCTTTCTTTCTGTCTCAGTCGGTGTCGTACGCCCAGTTCCTGTACCCCACTAACGCTCTGGTGAGGCACAAGCCATCGTCGACCAGCGACCTGACGCTGCAGATTCCCGTGTCCAGGAGCACACACAGCATGCCGGGCAGGAGCTGCCCACCCAGCAGACTGAACAGCACTGTGGGACTGGACCTGGGTAATACACACACGCACACGCACACACTGGGTCTCATTCGTAGTAGTTAATCTGTGAGTAGATCTGCACATAAAAAACCTTGGTATGATGAACCTACTCCGGGTTCATGAATGCCGTGGAAAACTCAATCATAAATTGACAGCGCACTCCTGCTTGTCAGCAATTAGCATACATCCCCATCAATTAATAGCCGGTGACCACCACATATGGAGGTGACAATTACTTTGCACAGGTGCATCCTGTCAAGCTGTGAGCATGGGGCTAACAAAGAAAGAGAAAGAGAGAAGAAGAAAAACTTTTCTGACGCTGAGACTGAAGTTTTTTTAGGTGAAGCAGAGTTGAGAAAAACATTTTATTCTCTCAGTCAGTTTGCCTTCAGCCTCAGCATTGTTTGTCAGTGTTGTGAAATTAAACCACTATTAAAACATCTTAATGGAGGCAGTCTGATGTCGGAAATAACCCACCGCTAAGTTTAACAGAAATTAAGATAATCTGGTGTAAAACCATTTCGTTTCCCTCCAGCTCTCTGCCGGATTTGGGTCCGCCAGCTGCCTGTGCGAGTGGAGACAGATGCCAAATTGCTTTCCCACATCCACAGGTCTTATTAAACCAAAACTCAATTTGAAATTATGTTAACGTCTCCCTTGTCGCATCTCTGATAATTAAACAAAAATGACATGCAGTTTGGGGCTGTGGTGCGTAAACAGCACAGGAGGAGGAGTGCGTTGGTTTGTTATTCACTCAGAGAATTTCCCAGGTTTGTATTTAGTTGATTCAAACAACTCATTCATATTTTTAAGAAACCAAAGTTTAATCTGCAAAATGCCAACTAATAAATGTGTCATGTTGTCATGTTTACTTTACATGTTTCAAAGGCATCTGTGTATTGTGAACATAACAGAGCACAGTACGAAATAAATTTGTCATTTCTAATAATGACAATCAACATTTATGTGCATATTATTTGCACAAGCACTACGAGCAGTCAGAAGCAGGTTTAGATTTTCTTAGTATCTACCAAAAGATTGGAGCCACTAACTTACTGATGAATGCGGAAATACACATACAAATGTCCTTCTGCTCACATTTCATGAATGAGACACATTGGCATACCTCTAGTTTTTGGTTTCATACTTTTATGACTGAGTCAGGTTTTATTTTGATGGTTGTGTGTCCGTGTATTGTGTCCCTGCAAGTGAGAGAAGACTGATAAAGGAAGTAGAGGCAGAGAGGAAGGATTGTGGCCGCAGAGAAAGTAAAGAGGATGTAAAGAGAGGGAGAGAAAACAAACACAGGATGGAGAGATAAGATGAGAGAGACATTGGGTGATGAAAAGAGATAGTTGTTGCAGCTGTGTCGGAGTTGTCATTAGATTTTAAACACATGTATATGTAGGTACTCACTGCGTGTGACAGAGCCCTGTATTAGCCTCTAAACCTCTCTCTCTAATCCGAAACCTTTCATTATCACAACACAGCTGAGTGTGTGTGTGTGTGTGTGTGTGTGTGTGTGTGTGTGTGTGTGTGTGTGTGTGTGTGTGTGTGTGTGCGCGCGTATATTGATAGCAGGTTTATATTTTTAGTCTTGTTGTGACGCGTCTCTTCAGTCTCTCAGCTCTCGAAGCTGCTGTATTTACACATCATATGATAGTTCGCTAACTCATCACAAAAACATCCAGAAATCATTAGATGTTTTTCAGAGTTATGAAACGAGATCACCACCAGGTCAGGAGTCCTGAGATGCAGCCTGTCTGATAGTAAACAGCTGCAGTGAGTGTGCTAGCTGCTCATCACACAACAGTCTTCAATTGTTTATTTAATTTCTACATTAACACAACATGACATAAAAAGACTAGGCTAGCAGTTTCCCTCTGCTTCCCGTTTGTATGCTAAGCTAAGCTAAAAACATCTCTCATCTCTCTGGATGAGAGCAGAAGTAAGTCTTTCTGCGTGTTCCTTTAAGAGTTCCCTCTGTCATAAGGGTCAATGATGTACTCATACAAATCAAATATTTCAATTCAAATAAACACAAGAAGTTTGTGCTCTAGAGAAAGGATCAGCGCTCAGTGAATAACCTCCTAAGCCCTATGATAAGCTATTACGGCAAGGCTTAACTATACAGACCAGTGAGCAGTGATAACTAACATGTCTTTGGGGTCATCAGGTGGGAACCTCCTTTCACCAGTGTTTCGTCTAGTTGGTCCCACGACACCTCCAGGAGGCTAGACAGTGATCTCTGGCGTCCCAGAGACACTCCCCTAATGCCAGGTCTCACTGCTCCCCGCACCAACCCAACAACCTCCTTTACCTTACTTACACATGGCTTTCTCAGCCCTAACAGCACTGCCACCTTCAACAAACCCAGGCTCCGTACATGCGAGCTCCAGGTAGAAGCAGTGCCGATACTACCTTTCCTAGCACATTCACCATACTCTATTTCACATGCTACATAGCATAACTACAATATAAGCTAAAGTTAAAGTAGATAAATAAACTCACAGGATCAGTAAACAAACTCACCTTGCAGCATGGTCTCAAACAAAATGGATTCAAATAGGCCACTCCCACACTTAAATAACCTTCCTCTTCCTGGACTTCCTCCTGAGAGGAAGTGGATCTCTCCACCTGATCTCAAGGAGTTATGTACCCTGCTTAGTAGTTCCCCCTGCTGGCCCCCAACTGACATTATTTCTTCTCACCCAGATCCATTGGCTTGCTCTACCTGCTTCATCTGACATTTCCTTCACTGTCTTCCTCAAACTCTGTCCCCGCACTCTGAGTTCCCCCAGGAGCGAGACAGCTGATCTTGCTATGAATCCCCTACACCCCACTTCCACTGGACAAATCCTAGTTTTCCATCTTCGCTGCTCAGCTTCTGCTCTTAAGTCTGCATATCTAAGCTTTTTTCTTTCATAGGCTTCTTCCACTGAGTCTTCCCAAGGAACTGTCAGCTCAATGAAATAAACTATCCGTTGACTCACTGACCACAACACTATGTCAGGCCTCTGCCTGGTACAAACTATTTCCTGGGAAACAACAAGCTTTCCCCCTAAATCTACTTGCATTTCCCAATCAAAAGCACCTTCTAGGTGGCCACACCCTTGCCTCCTTACTAACTTATCCCTTCTGTATTTCTCTCCCTCACAGACAAACTGAATTACTAAACTCCTATCCTTAACACCTTCTGAATTCACCTGTCTTCGTTTCCCTTCGATGCCTGCAGCTAAACATTTCAACACCTGGTTATGTCGCCATGTATATCGGCCTTGTGACAAGCTAACTTTACAGCCAGACAAAATATGCTTTAAGGTTACGGTACCTGAACACAATGGGCATGATAATAAATAAATCAATAGCTTTAATTAAAACCACCTAACTTATTAGTTGTTGACATTTTATAAAGTAGTACATGACTGATTTAGCATTGCACAAGATAGTCCTTTATTGGGAGGGAAGATTCAGTTGTTGCAGCAGCACAAGGACAGAAATAAGGAGTTACATTGAAGAAGTTAAAATAAAATACTAACAGGAATATATATAACTAAAATTAGAATAGAAGAAAATAGACACTATACATGTGCAGTTAAAGTCAAAATTGGACAGTGTTTGTTCGTAGTAATAAAGAGATATCAATATAGTGTATAATGTAATAAGACAGTGATAAGTCTGATTTTATTTGAATTCGTGCTCACAGTTAACTAATAGAAGCAGAGTTTACATGACTGAAAAAAGAAATATATTCGTAAATGACTGCATCATAAAACTATACATGTATCTATATACACACATGTAATCATTAGGGTTCCCATAGTCATGGAAAACCTGGAAAAGTCATGGAATTTACACATTTTCCAGGCAAAGGAAAAGTCATTTATTTAGTAAAAATCATTGAAAGGTTTAGAAAAGTCATGAAATTTTGTTGTGTGTGATTAATTGTTACAGTAATCTTCTGTGATAACCTTCAATGCAATGAAACACAACAGTAAATGTATTTTCTGTAGCTGACAGTGTAATGTAGCTCCAATACGTGTCGATACCATCACGTACAATTCTTCATTTTCTCCCTGCGTTCTGTCTCTTCCTTCATGTGAGCCAGCTCGTTAAAATTATGTATGAATACAGTTTAATCTGATTTGTTTGGAAAAAAAAAAAAACAGACAAGTGGGGCGAGAAAAATATATATATTATTGGTCCTTGTTTGGTTACGTTCAGGCAAGAGGAGTGGGATTGGTCAGGATTAAGGTAAGAATGTCAGGGTAAGCCAATCAGAGGCAGAGTAAGGCAGGCCATCCCTTTGTTAAAGAAGGATTCGCAAATTCACGTGAGGTTGGTCCTGCGCTGTCACTACCTCCAGTGCTGCCTTAAAGGTTAGAAAACTCCACCCAATTTCTGATTGTTATATGTTATATGCATGTGTGTTGTCCAGGTCTGGAGGATGTGACAGACTATGACCCCAACCTCCTCAGTGACCCCCAGTGGCCTTGTGGGAAACACAAGCGGGTGCTGATCTTTGCCTCCTACATGGTAAGAACACTCTGAACACTTTGTTTTAGTTCAAGCACAAGAAAATCAGACCTGAGCACTCAGGCTTGATGTGTGAACGTAGATGTAGTGACCTAAAATGCAAAGACAGTCATTACATTTTTGCATCAGCAGCCACGTGTGACGACAGATGACACTGATGTCTGGTTGTTTCATCTCTGCCTCTCTTTTGGTTTCACCTCTGGATCTGCTTCATGTTTGTAGGGATGAAAATGATCTCTAGAAGCTTCATCCAAATTATATTATTGTCCACGAAATTGCGACAACACTAGCGTTAGATTAAAAACACAATTATATCATAACATACATTTTCAATGAGCAGAATGAAACAGTGAAGAGGAGACGACAGAACTGTGGAGGAGAAAGAAGGATTGAGGATTACAGACCTCCGAGAACAGAATAATCACTACTGAGAAAAGATACACACATTCATGTGCACACACACACACACACACACACACACACACACACACGCACACGGCTCTTTAACATCAACATAATGATCCTATAGGCAGCAGCTTAGTTTTTTCCCTCTACTGAGATTAATTAAAATCTATGCACACACACACGCACACACTTTATCATTACTGTTAAATCCATCAGAAGAGATTACTGCTGAGGTGGGCTGCTCTGTCACTGAGTGTGTGTGTGTGTGTGTGAGAGCATTACACAGTGTGATCTCACCACCTACTATAGCATCAGCTCTCCATGACTTGACGAGGCTGGCTGCTAGCACTAGCATCAGAGGCTGTGCTTGCTCGGACCTCTGGGTTCGCTGCTAAATGCTTTTCATTGAGGTGATAATTTCTCCGATGGAACTAAAACTCCTTACTGCAGAAATTGCAGAGAACAGTGCTCCTATCAACAGTTGCATCTGGGCGGTTTTTAAATGTACATGTCCTATTCAAGGGGCCAAGCAGCGCCGTCTCTTCTGCCTCCATCATGTGACAAAGCCACTGTGGCCTTCACTGACGCACCGGGTCAAAGGGCACTACTGAGCATGAACTGTTTTTTTCACCCTAGTATCTATTCTGTGTTTTTCAAACAGGTTGGTTATCCGTTTTATTAAAAAGACAAATATACAGCTTTAATTTGGAGCACATTGATTGCAAGGAACAAAATATTCTCATACGATACGATATACTTTATTGTCCCCATAGGGAGATTTGTTTTGGACTCATACGCTGCGCACAACATGCCTTCACATTGTGATAAAACAAGCTACGTAATAAACTGCACATATTCCACATTGCACATTACATTGCATGTTACAGGGAGACTTGTGGTTACTCATAGAACCCATTTTCATTCAGAAGTCTCGAAGGAAGAGTCTTGTCGACAGGAGATCGTCCTCCTCGTCTGAGCTCTGTCGTGGCATTTCCCAATATCTTCTGTTTCTTCCTCAGTATTTCTCTTTGCTGTCTGCAGCCTTTCCTCAAACAAAGCTCGTCTCCTTCTTGTGATAAACAGCTACATAACGTGAAAAGAGACCATGAAATGTTCGGTGTCCTCCATTGTGTCTTTTCCTGAGTCACGTTTCCTGTGTCGCGTTATATGATGTCACACAGCTATGACCAGCTGGTATCAACCACGCCTATTTGTAAAGGGTACTGTGGAAAGCTTAAAGTCTGATGTGTAATAAAATGCCAATAACAGCACACAGACGCTGTGTAGACAGGACCGTACTGTTGACAGTGTGCTCAGAGTGAAGCAGTAAAAGCTGAGCAGTGTTTACTTCCTCGTGGGTTTCATTTACGTTCAGTGACCATTGTTTGACTTTTAAATGTCTGTGCTTACACTTTCACATGACTACAGATCTCTTCTTCCCTCTGTTTATGAATTCTTCTCCTCCTCCACTCTTTTCTTTCTTTCTTTAATTTCATGGTCTCTTCTCGTCTTTCATCCCTCAGACGACAGTAATAGAATACGTCAAACCGTCTGATCTGAAGAAAGACATGAACGAGACGTTTAAGGAGAAGTTTCCTCACATTAAACTCACCCTCAGCAAGATACGCAGGTAAAGTGTCTGAAATCAATCGACCAAATACCTTTAAGGACTCTGAAACTCTCAGAAAATATTTTATTATGACGATAAAGTGCACCTTATCTGTGTTTGTTTACACTTTTTTTTTTTACACTTTTCTTAAGCTGCTGTAAAGATATATGAAAAACTCTCTTTGATTTTTGTGACTCTCTGTTTGTCTCACAGTCTGAAGAGAGAGATGAGAGTGGTGGGGGAGGACTGCGGCTTGCAGCCCGTCACCATCGCAATGGCGTTCGTCTACTTTGAGAAGTTGGTGCTGCAAGGTCGACTCAATAAACAAAACAGGTACTTTACATTCGATTCACATGAAACACAACAGCTGCATTTAGTCTCTGTCATACTTGATAGCACAACACACTTGAACTTATTGTTCTTTAGAAGAAGAAGGCTGTTCCATTGGTGTGTGTGAGTGTGTTTAAAACTGAGTCACCTTGTATGGTAGCCTCAGCCACCAGTGTATGAATGTGTGTGAATGGGTGAATGTGACTCGTAGACTTCTGGCCGGTCAGTAATTATCATGTCTCTGAGCTCCTGTTACTGTTGTTTTACAGGAAGTTGGTGTCAGCTGCCTGCATCCTACTGGCTGCTAAGATCAGCAGTGACCTCAAGAAACAGGAGGTCAAACACCTCATCGATGTAAGTCTCACACACACACACACACACACACACACACACTAGGATCATGGTGGTTTCCTCTGCCTGTCAGTCAGCTCATGTTGCTCTTGCTCAGGTGTTTGTGATGCTGATCTACCTGAGCAGGTGGAAAACGACCTGCAGCGTCTCACAGCTGGAGGACTCCTTTCTGTCCTTCACAGTTAACTCACGACTCTCCTCACACACACAGAGAACATCTCACCTCACTGCTGCTGTTGTTATTAGACCCAACTGGGAAAGTGGTACTTTTAGCTCATCACAGATTCATCAGTGTTCAGTCAAATGTCAAATCTGTTTTATGTAGCAGCAGTGTCTCCATGACACCAGAGAGCACTGACAAGTTTGCTTTTTAACTTTAAAATGTTGCATGTTTACAAGTATTTTGTTACAATCGTAAAACACATATTTAATAACCTTATTTAAAAAAATGAAGTGTTGATTAGTTAACTGACTGAAAATTAATCGCCAATCATTTTGATTGATCATTTACATCAAATATTAAGCAAACTTGTGCAACCGTCTTCCTTCTGTTTTATGTCACTGTATATTTAATAATATGGAGTTTCAGACTGTTGGTCAGACAAAAAAAAAGTCATCTGAAGACACCAAGGTTATTATAGTTGACTAAAGCATAATGAAAAGACAAAACAAGACTTTAGGGGAGAAATGAAAACTAACTGTAAACATATTGTATATTACCTACACAACTAACTTAATAAAATAAATATATAATATGTAATATATAAAATATACATAAGATGTTTTCAGTTTTAGTCTTTGTCACTTTGATCAAATTTGGCAACAACAAACACAAGGGGGCACTGTGCGTATGTTTATTGAGGCCATGTTTACACAAAAACGACACTGAAAACAGAATCGTTTCTCATTTTCGTTTTGAAAAAAGTTCTGCGTTTAGACGACAACGTTTTGATAACAATTGCCGTGCACACGGATCCGCAAAAATGACCAAAAACACTGCAGTATACATGCCAGGCTGGTAGTTGGCAGTGTGACGCTTACGCTTCCTTCTACAGAGCAGTGATGTATAAACAAACAAAATAGCAACCGCACCAACGTTTGTCTGGACGGACGATGAGGTGGAGTTGCTACAGTAAATCTACACTGTGATGGGGAAGCGTTGATAAATTCAACAGGGTGAGCAGCACAAGCAGAGCTCTGGAGTCCGCCATTGTTGTTGTGATGGACACTCTTGCGCATGCCTAGTGACTGGAAGCGTAATGCGCATGTGCGAAAAGTCTCCGTTTTCAGAGGAACTGCATATTGCAAGTTTACATGACAACAGAGATGGTTCCATTTAAAAAAAAAAATTGCACTCTGGAACCCGTTTTCAAAACGTTGCATTTTCAGGCACCCAAAACGCTGCTGTTGTGTAAAATGATCGGCCAAAATGCAACTAAAGTTTACCGTTTCAGTTGAAATCGTCGTCATATAAACGGGACCTGCCTTCACAATGTGTCTCCTCACGTTTTTGACAACATGTACATGTTGCAGTTGAGCTAGTCTGGAATATATTTATGCCAATATGACATTTCTGTTGTATGACTATTTACCCCTGTGTTGTATGAGGTACATTGTTTAGATTTTGTCAGTTGTTTTTTTGTTAGTTTGTTTCTGTTTTTGTGAGGATGGAGTGATGCTTTTTGTTTCTGTATTGGTTGTGATATATGTTATCACCACCTGCTTACACTAAACTCCACTTTTAAATGCAAAAAAAGTGAAAAAAGAGAGAAGAGAAAAAAAGCCAAATGTCCCCACTGGGAGGATGGTGATGGTGGGGGTAAAACAGGTGTTGTGTTTGTATTATGATACCTATTCTCAACTTTTTAAATGTAGCTCCTGACAAATACTCCTTTTATCTTACTATATAAAAAGTTATAACTAATACTGAAACTGATAAAAACTAAGCTACAACTAAACATTTGGAAACAGTGAACTAAACTGAAACAACCAAACCAACTCTGGAAACTAAAGTGAACTGAAAACAAAAATTAGAAACGAAACAAAAATTTAAAAAAAATACAAAAAATAGAAAACTATAACTTTTGAAGACATTATGGTTTGATCAAATGTTTGCTTTAAAATATAAAAAATAGTGATAAATCTTAGATTACTGGATTTGAAACCAATCTGTACAAAACCATTCAATTTGAAATAAAATGTTTAAAAAAGGAAGTAAACATTTGACACAAACGTTAATAACTAATGATTTAATTCAATCAATACTTGTGGACCAGTCATCTCAGTATTGTGTTGATTTTGGCAATGCTTCAGTTGGGTGGCCCTTTGCTGCAAACATGACAAAATTTGACCAAACACATTAACAAAACAGAAACAAAACTTCACAAAAGGACGTCCCAATCAGAGTCCTTTAATATCGATTATCTGCTGATGCCAAGTCTGATCGGATACGTAGATACATCTTAAATCAACATTTAGTAGAATATGACACAACTTTTTTTTTAATGATTCATTCATTCATTTTCCATAACTGCTTATCCTGTTGGGGGTCACAGAGCCTATCCCAACTGACACTGGGTGAGAGGCAGGGTTCACCCTGGACAGGTCACCAGACTATCACAGGGCTGACACATAGAGACAGACAACCATTCACACTCACATTCACACCTACGGACAATTTAGAGTCACCATGTCGGAGTACCTGGAGTAAACCTACACTGACACTGGGAGAACATGCAAAATCAGAAGGGCTCCTACACCCTGGGTTCAAATCAGGAACCCTCTTGCTGTGAGATGCAGAAGTGTATTATTAATGAGATACTCCGAAAACTGAGAGCGTGATTTTACATGTATCGCCCCTCAGATTCACTGTAAGGAAGTGATGTTAGCAGTTAATTTCAGCATCAATGGTACAAAAATCATCATATAATAAAGAAGTGAAGATTAAAATATAAAATAATAAACTATGACTTACCACAGACGTTTATAAAGAAAGCGTGGTGTCTGTCTCTCATGCTGTGGTTTGTGTGTCTCTGCAGAAGCTGGAGGAGCGTTTCAGGATCAGCAGGAGGGAGCTGATATCGTTTGAGTTCACCATCCTGGTCGCCCTGGAGATGGCACTCTACCTCCCTGAGATTAAAGTCATGCCACATTACAGAAAGCTGGTGCAGCAGCAGCAGTCATAGCAGCGCACACACCGACCCCTCCCCGCAGGGACTCCCAGCACCTTCCAGCTCCACACTGTGACGGGCGGCGCCTCGTGATGCCTGGCTCAGAGGTACTGAGGCACTGAGGAATCCTCACCGCAGACACCAAAGCTCATCCACACTGTGATGGTAGTGCGACAGCAGGCCTGACGGCTTCTGGCTCAGCGGCATAGAGAGCGACATCGCCTTCTCTCCTCCCTCAAACACCAAAGTGACGACACACTGTGATCGATGGTTCAGCGGCAGGACTGGTGCCTGGCTCAGCAGCACCACGAGAATCACTGAGGGTCAAATTCACAAGACTCAGACTCACGTCTTTCTCATGGTTTGTTGTCTTTGTTCGATCTTCATACACCTGACCTCCTGTCGGGTTGAAAAAGATTTTCCTCACCAGCTCCGTAGCAGAGATTTTAGTCATGGAGACTCTGCTGAACTCGACTCTGTGAGGATTGTTGGTTGAAACTTGTACGACACATTTACATCATTTTGGTTCAATCTGGGATTTTGTCAGGCGTTTATGAAGCTTTGTTTAACAGGTTTGAGTCTTCCTTTCTAAGATCTGTGCAGTTAAGAAGGCGAGAAACATGCTGGCCAAAAAAAAAATGTCCCAAAGGTTTCGCTTTAGGTTTTACCACCGAACCTGTTCATCTTTTAAAGTAGTGGTTCCCAACTAGTCCACACAGTTTAATATATTCAGTGTCATACTTGTGTTTGGCCATGTCATCGCGCTAGTTTGCTGTCTCTGTCATGTAGCTGTCTGTTAGTCACTCACTCTGCAGCAGGAAACGGGACTTCAACATAAAGGCTCTGTGCCGGAAATTCACTGTACGACCCACCAGTTGGGAACCACTGCTTTAAGGGCTCCTGATGGTTGCGAGAAACGAGAAAAAAAAAATCAAACCTGTGTGAAGTGAAGCTTCGGAGTCAGTATGCTAATGTGATTGAAACAGAGTGAGGTACGTGTTTATTTAGAAGTGGTCAAAAAAAGGGACTCATTGTGCAGAGGCCTTCAGACTTAATCAAATTGCTGCCATCACTCCGACAGTTTAATATTCCGTTTTTTTCTTTTTTTGGACTAGATTTTCTCCAGACCGCTGCGTGCTTTAGTTTCCTTATTTAACATTTCTTAAGTCTAAAACTTGTGTCAACTTTCAAGTCCGCTGCCTCTGTAGCACTGTGGACTGCGATAAGACGAAAATTAGACAGAGGCTAAAAATAACCCTCCTTATTTTGATTTAAATGTGCTGACAGTCAGGAGAAACAAAGCTTTGTGCTTTAGACAATAATTTTCCTGCATTTAAAAGCATCTTAAATCAATACTGCGGAGTGATTTCTGCAGCTGCAGCAAAGATGTTGCCAACATTCCCATATTTGTGTTGAAACTTGCATGAAATTCAATTTAAGGTGATAAATTCAGGCCACGAGGGGAGCTGGTACAGCACCGTGGTGACACTTTATTGTGTGTCTTGTCCTCTGGCTGGACTGGTTTCATCACTCAGTTTCTTGTTTGGACTCTCACTCACATTAATGTCATGAAGTCAGCACTTTTTAGATTCTCTCTGAACATCCAGCCGGCTGCCTCTAAATCATCACTGTGTTTGTAGCTTGTTTTCCGAAGACGTTAATGCTCCCACTCAGATGCTTCTTCGCTGCTGTGACCGTACTTCAGTTTATCGAGGGGGAGGTTCACTGCTTCACATGAGCCAGCTTTAATGTCTGACACATGGAGCTGCAGTCTGCTGCTGTCAGAAGCTCCTCTGGCGCAGTGTAGATGTTTAAGTGCCTTGCCTGAGGGCACCTGAAGAGCAGTTGTTCCCTTCCTGTCTGTCCCTGGATCCAGATATTCAAACAGACCACTTCTCTTTATTTTGACCTCTGTCTCGCTCTCATGTTCTCGTCCCTCTTCCTCGCTGGTTTGGTGTGAACGATCAGCAGGCTGCTGCTCACTCTGGTGGTCGCAGAGAAGCAGTGCATCCTTTTAGAAAAATGCTGTGATGATGAGGAGACACAGTCAGATCATGCTGTAACCATTTTATATACTGTGTTATATCTTGAATGCAACTCAGCTGATGTCACATGGCAGCAGAGGCAGATGATCCTGTTGATATTCAGGGTGAAATTTTAAAATAGAAACTAAGAATCTGTCACTAAATTAATATATTAGCATCTGTCTGATGTTAATTACCAATCCTATTAATGTAAGAGCTGAAACGATTAGACGATCAATATGGCATTAATCAGGTTTGGTTTTTAAGGCAGAAATACCCCAAAGTCACTATTTCCAACTCCTCACATGAACATTTTCTGCTTTTCTTTCTTTCTTTGTCTTCTGTGATATAAAACTAAATATCTTTGAGTTTTAGATAACTGGTCGCACAAAACTAAACATTTGAATATGGACTTTGAGAAATGGTGAGGGACATTATCCACTTGTTTCTGACATGTTAGAGACAAGGAAATAAACAATAGAATAATTACACATGATTAATTAAGATGAACAGAACGATGGTGGCTGTACAAGCACATGTATGAAAAGCCCTGAAGTGGACAGCCACGCTCACATAAGGTCCAGGTAATAACTGATTATGATATTTTTGGGACAGTTTTTAAGGTGGACTGCAAACAGATTATTCATGTTTCTTGGAGGGAGCTGGCTGTAGCTACAGACTTCCTCAATTTATCTGCACTGTGAACTTCACCAAAAAAGACCTTTCTGTTTATGAACTACCTTAGAAAAACTATGTTTCACTCCAATGCTATTTATTCTGTTTTTACTGTGTCATAAAGGGAGAAATATTTAACCAAACGGAGGCCTCTAACAGGACGGTTGTGCCTGTTGTTCCTCCTTAAAATTGCTGTCTGAATACAGTGGGTTTTTTCTGCTTTACCCAGAAACAAAGTGGGTGTGTAGTTTTATTTAAAAGGGGCGATCATTGGTTACAGGCGGCCATGTTGGATAAAAAACGACAGCACAAACACCTTCTGTAGGGCCTCTGTTTTTTTTGCACTTTGCCTTTTTGCTTCACAATCCTGAATCTTTATTTTATCACTAAGCAACAAGGGTAATAATATTTTTCTACATGAAATGTATGTTATTGTATTATTGTATACTGAAAAGTGACAGTCACTGAAATTTATTTATTGCTTATAATCCTCCGGGTGAAGAATCATATTTTAATGATGATGCAAAGCAGATAATTCAGTTTAATTTAAAATATTATTCTTCATCTTGAGGTTTCACATCCATGTTCTTCCACTGATGTTACTTTCCCTTGTGTGTTAAAGGGACTTTGTTGTATTTTGGAGGCTGGGTTCATCTGCACTGGACTGTTGGAGCAGGAGAGCTGATGGTGTTCATACACACAGGTCCTGACATGATATCGTGTTCCAAGTCGCTCTGTTGCATATTGCTAAGGGTTCGAGTCGGGTCAGGTTAAGTAAAAAAAAAACAGTACTCTTTCCCTCACTGACCGGGCCAATCATCTGCATCCATCTGCTTCCTGTGTTGATATGTAAAGCCCAGGTGGAGGAGGGAAAGGCTGCTTCATCAGCCTGGCGAGCTAATGGAGTGTGATGAAGAAAGAAAAGTATGACCATGAGTTCAGGTTTTAAATTTGCCTGGTCAAATCTTAAAGAGTGAGACTGCCGATAATCTGCTCTTTTTTAATTGTCAACAAATTCCATGAAAAGATCAACACTAACAACGTGACGTTCTGTTGTCGTCTGTCTCTCAAAGCTTTACGGCCGTACTGTGTAGCTCCCACATCTTACGAAGCCCTTAAAGCCCCAAAGGGTGATATTTAAGTTTTTTACTTTAGGGGGGTCTGTACAAAGTACATTCGTTACAATTCAATTTAATACAACTCATTTGTATTTACAAAGGCCAATATCACAAATCAGAGTTTGCCTCAGAGGGCTTTACAGCATGCAACATCCCTCTGTCCTCTGACCCTCACAGTGGATAAGGAAAAACTCCCCCAAAAAAACCTTTAACGGGAAAAAAATGTCACAGATATATCTCTTCTTTTTTTAAAAGACTCAGTAATTTCTCAAACAGCTGGATACTATAGTTTTTAAAAGTGTTACTCAAACAGCAGTAAATAGTGCATTTGCTAGGGACTATTTTAATCGGCGGATGAATCCACATTTGATGCCCTAGTGAGTTTTTGAATAGTTTTTCTCACAGAGGGATGATGTGTATCAGGCACTGATATACAGACAGTACTCGTTAGGAGATGCATTCTTTGTTTGATTTGGTCTTTTCATGAGATTTTGTTGCACTTTACAGTGGCGTGTGGTTTTCGTTAGTTCTGCACCGCTGTCTCTCTTTCCTCCGCCTGCGGATAAACACTATGAGCCATAAACGCACAAGACTTTCACACTGAGCTGAAATGAAACGTGCTCATAATTTTAGTTAAAAACATAAACACTGAGTGGGTTTACATGGACAGTTTGATTCCCTTTTCATTCGGAATTAAAGTTCATTCCTATTAAAAGTGATCTCGTAAACACCTAATTCGGAATGAAAATGGCCAATGCGATTGAAAATTCAATCCGATGTAAGGGGCTGGAATATTCCGTTTCTAATTCCGAATGAAAGAATTTCTCGCACTTGTATACACTCATTCCTCTTTAAGTTAATTCCGGTCTTTCTGCACATGCTCGTTTCCTTTCCCTTCTGGCGCAATGACGTATATAGTGCGCATAGCAACGGGCTGAGATAGAGCAGTCGGACCCGTTGCACTCACCGGTTTCCATTCGCCACAGCGCTTCTATCTCCCTTCATCGACCTTCTACCTCCCTTCTCCTCCTCAACAGACGAAGCATTAGCAGAACAAGTTTGTTGTCGTACTGCTGCTTCAAGAATTTAATCAAAACATGCCTGAAAAAGGCACTAATAACGTCTTCTTCAAGCATCTTGTTATCCGGAGCGAGGACTACAGTGTTTTCTTCCAGTAAACCTAAACACGTAACATCCGCCCCGCCCCCTATCCAATCAGAAACCTTCCCTGCCCCAAACCTTGCGTGGACCCGAATACAGGCGATTAAACTGATCTCCCGTGTAAACCCTCATTCGGAATGAATATTTCCCATGTGAACTACCTGGAAAGACTTTAATTCCAAATGATTTCATTCAGATTTATTTCATTCTGAATGAGAAGCCATCATGTAACCTCACCCAGTCTCATACTGTATTTTTGCAGTTTGTTATGGCGTGTTGTGTTGCACCGCAGGCAGGGCTCAGCTTGTACTAAAGGAGCTAAAAGTGCTTCTATGTTTCTTTCAAAGACGGGGGTCTGGCTCTCAGTTTTCTCTCCTGCTCTAATGAAGGTAGTGAAGAAGAACCCTCGCTGCACAGTTTGCACTGAGACACTTCAGAGCAGAGTCATATATTTAAACTGTTTTCTTTGTGAAGTCTGTGAAAGGGAAAAGTACGTCTTGGCAATAAACAGCAGCACTTCCTGTGTTGAAGCTGATAAGATATGAGAGATATTTTAAAAAGCACTAATACTGAATAGCTGTGTCAAATATAAGACTCTGCTCGAGAGAAGAAACAGCACATGATCTTCCAAAGTCGTCTTCTCTACATTAGAGATTTGTTATATTGATTCTATGCAGCTTTTATTCTGTCAGCTGACCTTCGTCCTCCTCCTCTTCCTCGGTGTGTTTACCTGTAATGTGCCACAGCATTTATTGTCACCTCTTTTATTTAAACTTCACATGTTGTGTTTAGTTTATTGTTTTGTATCCAGTAATTGTTATTGTATTCTTTTTTTAGCACTGTTAGGCTTTGAAAGGGAAATATTAACCAAGTGTTTGTCTTCCATTTGTAATTATTCTTTTTACAATTTCATTCTTAGTTAAATTAATTAAATTTTGTATGTTTTTTTTTTTTATGGACAACATGGACGAGTCACACAGCAGTTTGGCAGCGTTACAGTCAAGGCATCACATGAAGTTAATCTGTGGGAATATTATTTATGTTTTGGGTTCAGCTGTTGTGCTACAGATGAAAACAGGAGGTTAGCAACATTAACTTGAGACAAGAGTAGTTAATATATTTTGTTATGTGACGATTATCAACCTGTTTGCAGTGTCTCGTACTGACTCAGCTGCTGTTCAGTCAGTCACACCACAGGACAGTTTGGTATTCAACACAAAACTGGAGGAGATGAAGTGGATGAAAATATTTACAATAATATTTTGTAAAAGATAAAGACCATATACTGTTTAAACTGCCAGTGTTCAATTCATGTCAAGTTTATTTTCATTAAAAATGTGTAAATTACGGCTTCTGTTTGAATTCTTTCTTTCACCTTTTTTTTCTTTCGTTTTAAAGAGATGCCGTTTGAGTCTTTACAGTTAGACAACAGCTGGTCGTCACATCCAATTTAAACTGCTGACAGTGAATTCTGTGGATTATCCTGAGCATATTGAACCCCCAAATTATCTTATTATAATATCATGATTTTTGACGACATGTTTTACTATGATGTTTTTTCATGAATTTTAACAGCATGCTTTACAATGACATTCTTTCATGGTTTTGGACAACATGCTATACTATGACATTTTTCAAATTTTGGACGACATGCTGTACTATGACGTTTTTTCATGAATTTTGACAGCATGCTATACTATGACGTTTTTTCAGAATTTTTGACGACATACTGTACTATGACGTTTTTTCATAATTTTTGACAACATGCTATACTATGACGTTTTTTCATAATTTTTGACGACATGCCATACTATGATGTTTTTTCATCATTTTGGACAACATGCTATACTATGACCTTTTTTCATGAATTTTGACGGCATGCTATACTATGACGTTTTTTCATGATTTCGGACAACATGCTATACTATGACGTTTTTTCATGAATTTTGACGACATGCTATACGATGGCGGTTTTCCAGGATTTTGGATGACATGTTATACTATGACATTTTTTCATAATTTCGGACAACATGCTTTACTATGACGTTTTTTCATGATTTCGGTCAACATGCTATACTATGACATTTTTTCATGAATTTTGACGACAAACTATACGATAACGTTTTTCCATGATTTTGGACGGCATGCTATACTATGACGTTTTTTCATTAATTTTGACGACATGCTATACTATGACGTTTTTTCATGATTTTTGACGACATGCTATACAATGACATTTTTTCATGATTTCGGACGACATGCTATACTATCATGTATTTTCAGGAATTTTGACGACATGCTGTACGATAACGTTTGTCCATGATTTTGGATGACATGTTACACTATGACGTTTTTTCATCATTTTTGAGGACATGCTATAGCATGACATTTTTTCATGATTTCGGACGACACGCTATACTACTACGTTTTTTCATGATTTTGGACAATATGCTATACTATGACGTTTTTTCATGATTTCAGTCAACATGCTATACTATGATGTTTTACTATAATTTCGGATTACATGCTATACTATTACATTTTTTCATTATTTCGGACAACATGCTATACTCTGACGTTTTTTCATGACTTTGATCAACAGGCTATACTATGATGTTTTTTCATGACTTTGATCAACATGCTATACGATGGCGGTTTTCCAGGATTTTGGATGACATGTTATACTATGACATTTTTTCATAATTTCGGACAACATGCTTTACTATGACGTTTTTTCATGATTTCGGTCAACATGCTATACTATGACATTTTTTCATGAATTTTGACGACAAACTATACGATAACGTTTTTCCATGATTTTGGACGGCATGCTATACTATGACGTTTTTTCATTAATTTTGACGACATGCTATACTATGACGTTTTTTCATGATTTTTGACGACATGCTATACAATGACATTTTTTCATGATTTCGGACGACATGCTATACTATCATGTATTTTCAGGAATTTTGACGACATGCTGTACGATAACGTTTGTCCATGATTTTGGATGACATGTTACACTATGACGTTTTTTCATCATTTTTGAGGACATGCTATAGCATGACATTTTTTCATGATTTCGGACGACACGCTATACTACTACGTTTTTTCATGATTTTGGACAATATGCTATACTATGACGTTTTTTCATGATTTCAGTCAACATGCTATACTATGATGTTTTACTATAATTTCGGATTACATGCTATACTATTACATTTTTTCATTATTTCGGACAACATGCTATACTCTGACGTTTTTTCATGACTTTGATCAACAGGCTATACTATGATGTTTTTTCATGACTTTGATCAACATGCTATACGATGGCGGTTTTCCAGGATTTTGGATGACATGTTATACTATGACATTTTTTCATAATTTCGGACAACATGCTTTACTATGACGTTTTTTCATGATTTCGGTCAACATGCTATACTATGACATTTTTTCATGAATTTTGACGACAAACTATACGATAACGTTTTTCCATGATTTTGGACGGCATGCTATACTATGACGTTTTTTCATTAATTTTGACGACATGCTATACTATGACGTTTTTTCATGATTTTTGACGACATGCTATACAATGACATTTTTTCATGATTTCGGACGACATGCTATACTATCATGTATTTTCAGGAATTTTGACGACATGCTGTACGATAACGTTTGTCCATGATTTTGGATGACATGTTACACTATGACGTTTTTTCATCATTTTTGAGGACATGCTATAGCATGACATTTTTTCATGATTTCGGACGACACGCTATACTACTACGTTTTTTCATGATTTTGGACAATATGCTATACTATGACGTTTTTTCATGATTTCAGTCAACATGCTATACTATGATGTTTTACTATAATTTCGGATTACATGCTATACTATTACATTTTTTCATTATTTCGGACAACATGCTATACTCTGACGTTTTTTCATGACTTTGATCAACAGGCTATACTATGATGTTTTTTCATGACTTTGATCAACAGGCTATACTATGATGTTTTTTCATAATTTCAGTCAACATGCTATACTATGACGTTTTTTCATGATTTCGGTCAACATGCTATACTATGACATTTTTTCATGATTTCGGTCAACATGCTGTACTATGACGTTTTTTCATAATTTCGGACGACATCCTATACTATGACGTTTTTTCATGGCTTCGGACGACATGCTATACTATGACGTTTTTTCATGATTTCAGTCAACATGCTTTACTATGACATTTTTTTCATGATTTCAGTCAACATGCTATACTATCATGTTTTTTCATGATTTCGGACGACATGCTATGACGTTTTTTCGTAATTTTTAACAACATTCTATACTATGACGTTTTTTCATGATTTTGGACAACATGCTTTACTATGACGGTTTTTCATGATTTCAGTCAACATGCTATACTATCATGTTTTTTTATAATTTCGGACGACATGCTATACTGTGACGTTTTTTCATAATTTTTAACAACATCCTATACTATGACGTTTTTTCATAATTTTTAACAACATCCTATACTATGACGTTTTTCAATAATTTCGGATGACATGCTATACTATTACATTTTTTCATTATTTTGGATGACATGCTATACTATTACATTTTTTCATTATTTCGGATGACATGCTATACTATGACGTTTTGTCATGATTTCAGTCAACATGCTATGCTATGACGCTTTTCCACAATTTCGGATGACATGCTTTACTATGACATTTTTTCATGATTTCAGTCAACATGCTATGCTATAACGCTTTTCCATAATTTCGGATGACATGCTATACTATTACATTTTTCCATATTTTCGGTCAACATGCTATACTATGACGTTCTTTCATGATTTCAGTCAACATGCTATACTATGACTTCTTTTTCATGATTTCGGATGACGTGTTTTTTATGACTTTTTTTCATGACTTTTGTCAACATGCTATACTATGACGTTTGTTCATGATTTTCGACGACATGCTATACTATTACATGTTTTCATTATTTTGGTCGACATGCTATACTATGACGTTTTTTCATTATTTTGGACGACATGCTATACTATGACCTTTTTTCATGATTTCTTCGACATATTACACTATGACTTTTTTTGTAATTTTTTTCGACAAACTGTACTTTGCATTTTTTTCACTATACTATACTATGACTTTTTTAGACATACTATACTTCCATTTTGTTTGCATTCTTTTTTTTTGACATACCATACTATGACTTTTTTTGCATTTTTTCAACATACTATACTGTCTTTTTTAGCCAGTGTTTCGACATACTATACTTTTCCTTGGTTTGCACCTTTTTTGACATACTGTGCTATGGCTTTTTTTAAGCAGTCTTTTTCGACATAGTACTACTACGTTTTTGGGAATTTGGGATCCTCTGGTTCAATGACTATCAACTCAGTGGTGTGTCATTTAAGACAAATGAGCACATGCAGGAGGTTCCATATCAACACTTTATTCTAAGACAGTTTGAGCTGGTTTGTCTAAGAACAGAAGAGAATAATAGAGAGTTTTTCACTAGACATCATGATTCCTGATTTGGAATAATTAATAATCCAACAAAGGAAATTCAACTTCAAACAGAACAGCTATAAACCTTCAAAATCAGGAAAAAACTGAAACTTAATGACATAACAAATAAAGGATGCTTCTAAGGTAACTATAAATGCATTTAAATCAAAGAAAACTCACGTCATATACTCAGTTCAAACAATTCAAAGTTAGGATGAGGCTGGTCCACATGCTCCTTTGTTCTTCAGAGAAAAAGGATCGCCACCTGTAAGCTGATGCCACATATAGACTTTGGGCTCTGCCTACTGAGGACGAGGGAGGCAGGTAGGAGCAGGCGGGGATTTTTCCATGCAGGAACATCGAGACACGTAGAGGGGTGCTTGAGGATTTTCCACATACTATACAATTACATCTTTGTGACGTACTAAACTATGACTTTTTTTGTATTACATACTACACTGACATTTATATGACACACTATACTATGACAGTTTTTTTTTTATTACATACTGCACAAAGACATTGTTGAAGGCTGTGACGACCCTCGTCCCATACTCTTTGTGGTTCTCCTTTGTTGTGTTGCAGGAGCTGAGAGGAGGATCTATGGCTGATTGATCCACACCTGGGCCCAGTGTGTTCTCCAGCATTAATTCCTCCCTCCTTGGTCAGTCTCGCCGTCTCTCGGCCTGTCGACAGCTCTGGGTTTCCTTCTTTATTTTCCACACACGCTGCCAGGCACCCACACATGCACTTCATTACTGATTACTGACTGCACACATGTTGTTAAACTTATGTTTTGTAAATGTATGACCATTATTGTCAGCCAGCTTGTTTGTCTCCTGTCCTTGTCATAGTTTTTGAGCCGGGCTGTGACAAGGCAAATTATACTATGGCATTTTTATGAATAGCTTTACTATATTATAGTATGACATTTTTTGTTACACACTGTACGATAACATTTTTATAACATACTACACTAAGACAATTTCATTACATTCTACACTATGACATTTTGCATGGCATGTTATACTTTCTTATTGTTATGCTATGTAATATAATGATTTTTTTTAACATACGCCACTATGACATTTTTCTGTGGCATATGTTACGATGACATTTTTCATGAAATGTTATGCCATAATTTTAACTATGACCATTGTCTATACTCTATTAATTGTTATACCATATGATACAATGACATTTTTACCACATACAATAGTACATTTTTTGGACTGGCTGCCAATGGGATGGTATTTTCTGTAAAGTATTTGAGGCTGCATCGAGTCCACACTGATACAGAAAGCGACACAGAATGTTGAGCTTTGATTTTTGTGTCATACTATTACTGTTTTTTATGACATGTTAAACATGCTGTGGCTTTGTGTATAATTTTCATTATTCATTTATTTATTTTTGTTTCCGTACTTTGTAAAGCAGCCTTGAGTACCTTGAAACACGCTTTATTAATCTAAGTTATTATTATTATTATTATTATTATTATCATTACTATCATTATTATTATTATAGAATGATTATTATATACCTTGTATTATTATACTCTGTTTTTAATTTTTATTTTTTATTTTTTTGATGAATTTTTATGACAGATTACACTATGACACTTATGATTTTTTTTTACTTGCCTTACTTTACCATCACATTTTTCATGCTATAACACATGGCATATATTTTAAATACTATTTTTCATTACATACTGTCATATGATTTTTTAGGGCATGTTTGACATTTTGTAAGTGTTTTTTTCGCATACTGTTTTACGACCCTGATTCCAAAAAAGTTGAGACACCGTGTCAAACATAACTAAAAACAGAATGCAATGACGTGCATATCTTTTTTTGACCTATATTCAATTGAAAACAGTACAGAGACAAAATAATATTCAAACTGATAAACTTTTTTTTTTTTTAAATATCTGATTTTGATGGCTGCAACACATTCCAAAAAAAAAAAAGTTAGGACAGGGGCAACAAAAGACTGGGAAAGTTGTGCAATGCTCAAAAAACATCTCTTTGAAACATTCTATATTCAAACAGGTTAGTTAGTAACATGAAAATGTCATCATTGGGTATAAAGGGGCATCCTCGAAACTAAAGAGTAAATTCATATGCGTCACCACAGGGGGCGCTGTGGAGCGAGGCACCTTCAGAAAAATCCACCTCAGAGTAGGTGAGTTTACTGGAGTCGTCTTCAGTCTGCAAGAAAACTGAAAAGTTCATCACTTACGCTGGTTTTTAAGTTTACTTGAGCATCATTTCATGTCAGCTGTTCACAGGGTTTTATCTCCAAGTCTGTTGGTTAATGACGAACTGAATGTCTGTATTTGTCTCTTCAGGACTTCCTCCTAAAAAAACAGAAGCTCGTTGCGTTAGATTTTCTCACGAACTGACCTGTTTCCTGTTTCTTAAAAAAAGCAGCATGTTACTCAGAAACATAAACCAATGTACAGTTTGTTTAAGACCACATTTCTGAGGACATGTCCACACTCTCTTTCCTCTGCTGTACAATGAAGTCGTCACACAGTCAAGTTATTTTTGCAGGTGAATCCAAAGGTAACGTGGATTTTACTGACCTTGTTCTGAGAACTGGCTGCAGTGGAAAGAGTGAATTGTGGACATTTCTACAGGAGGAGATATGCTCTGTCTGTCCTCCTCTCTGATCTCCTCATACACTCTGTTGGTCTGCAGGAAGAGGAGAGGGGTTTGTATTCATGTCAGCTGGTTTCACAAACACTAATGATGCTGAGATGTTCCACATTTACTCAAACTCACCTCTGTGACGTTAATGTACTCAGGTTCCACAGGAGCTTCTGAAAAACATGCAGACTTGAGGATTAAGTCTGCTGCTAAAGCATCTGTGTTGAATGTGTTTAGATGTCCAGTTGCCTTTGTTATGTGTGTGTGTGTTTCCTGCAGCCTCACCTTTGAGTTCTCTGGCCCTCTTCCTGTAGAATATCACCACAGCTGTGGATAATACGATGAACAGGACGACCAGAGTCAGACGCACGTACAGCACCACACCTGTGGTTGTTTGAGCAGAACAACAAGTTTGTTTTAAATAATGATAAATGAAAGTTCGGTTAAATTAAAGAACACCTTCAGGCTAAGAAATAAATTGCATTAAATGTCAACGTACACACTAGTGGAACAACATCAGCAAAATGAGCCCTGATGTCCAAACTAGCAATAAGATTCTATTTATAGATGCACTCTGCAGCCTGTGCATTCAACCGATTAACAATTATAATAAATATAAAACCACCTTCCTCTGTGTAGCCTCACTACAGTTAACCAGGAAAGAAACCAAACTCAGACACACACAGACGTTCATTGTTGACATTCTGAACTCCTTCCTGTTATCCGGCATCTATCCAACCACTTTCAAAACTGCCTCAGTCATCCCCATTTTGAAAAAGCCTGGTCTTTACCCTACTGACCTCAGCAACTACCGGCCAATCTCCAACCTTCCAACCTGGCTACTGAAAGCATCACAGCACCGAGACCACCCTCATCAAAATCACCAATGACCTCCTCATCGCCGCTGACTCTGGTTTGATCAGTATACTCATCCTCCTCGACCTCTCTGCAGCCTTTGACACCGTCTCCCACCCCATCCTCCTCACCCGCCTGGCAGAATACCTTGGCATCACTGACTTCGCCCTCTCATTCTTCCAGCCCTACCTCTCTGACCGTAAACAATTTGTTACACGTGCTGGTTCCTCCTCCTCCCCCGCCTCCGTCAATCACAGTGTCCCCCAAGGCTCAGTGCTTGGTCCCCTTCTGTTCAACATTTACATGCTCCTCTTAGGCAAAATCATCCGCCGCCATGGTCTCAACTTTCATTCATATGCCGATGACACCCAGCTCTACATCAGTACAAAACCCTCTGCCCATCTGCCTCCTCAGTCTGTCACCATTTGCCTCCTCGAAATAAAATCCTGGTTGACATCTAATCTACTCAAACTCAACAGCAACAAGACAGAGCTCATGGTTGTGGCCCCCAAGGCACTTCTCGGGAAGGTCGGGTATCTAATCCTAACCATTGACAGTGCCGCCATCTTACCATCAGCTGAGATCTGCAACCTGGGAGTGATCCTCGACTCCACCCTCTCATTTCAGACCCACACGCTCACAGGTGTTATAAATATAAATATAACCATTAATTAACCAACTGTCGCACTCGCTACATTGACGCAAACTGACACTATAGCGTTACACCAAGAAGATGGATATTTTCCCCAAAATTACATTTGAATTAAATTATGAGTGGTCGTCAGGAGAGGACGAGGAAAAGGAAAGCCAGGACTCTTCTGTGCAGACCTCCAGGTGTGTTTGAATCCGGCTGTGCCAACATCCAGGTTTGCCGTTTCATCAGCCAAACTGGACGAAGTTACACAGCTGCAGATCAATGTAAATACAAAGTAGCTTGTGAGTTCCTGGCGTGTGCTGGGAAAAAAACAGTTCCCCCAGTCTGTTGCCAGGCAACACAGCCTGGCAACAGACTGGGGGAACTGTTTTTTTCGCGGAGCTACATAACATACTTAAATAATTTATTTCATCACCTTTTGTTAACATTTCCTTACTCAGCATTGCTGTTTAAGCTGTTGTTGAACTGTTGTATAAAAGCAATATCACATTCCAGGTTGTGACGTTGTACTGTATATCGTCACGGCTGTAATTGTCTTCTATGACCGAATCACAGCCGTGACAATATACAGTACAACATCACTCCCTCTCGTGTGATATTGCTTAAATATAGTCACTCTAGTGTTTACTTTTTTTTCCATTTTCCTTGCTTCTGTTTTTCCTCTTCTTCTTCTGTTTTGAATATTATTCTCGCTCGACTTCCTGATGGATCCTTGCGCCTCGTGGGGCGGGTACAGCTGACCATTCAGCCAGTCGTGCTCATTATTCAGAGACAAACGTCACCCGTAGCTCATGCTAAACAAAGTGCAATTGGCTGGAAACGTCACATGGGAACAGATGCCTTCAGGGCTCACAAAAAAACAGCATACTGGTTACAACCACACATTCATGAAATGGTCAAATTATCGTACATTTGGCCTTTTTTGGGATTATTGATCGTACATCGTACAGAGGGCCAAATTATCGTACAAATACGATAATTATCATACACCTGGCAACGCTGACCCCCACCCTCATCCATCTCCACTGGCTCCCGGTCAAGTCCCGCATGATCTACAAAATCCTCCTCCTCACCTACAAGTCCCTCCATGCCCTCGCCCCACAGTACATAACGGACCTCCTCCACCCCTACACTCCGTCCAGATCTTTGCGCTCCTCTGACTCCGGCCTACTCTCCATCCCTCACTCCCGCCTCCGAACTTTTGGTGACCGGGCCTTCAGCGTCGTTGTCCCCACCCTCTGGAGATCTCTCCCACCTGTAATCCTCAACGCCCCTTCACTGGACATTTTCAAATCCACCCTCAAAACTCATCTGTTCACCATGGCTTTTAAATTCAATAATCCCTGCTGGTGTTGTGTGTTGCTGTTGAGGCTGCTTGGTGCCTTCAGAGGAGGCTGATGAAGATGGAGTTTAAACTCTGTGATGTCGTCAGTGTGGAGGTCGATGGTACAAATGCTGTAACAGGTGGAAGAATCCAGTTTGGGTCTGAAGAGGTTGGAGCTGTGAAACATGAAAACACAACAAATCAATCAGATACTGATCGTACAGATACAAAGAGATCTGTGGAAACATTTCATTGATACAACACAAATTCTCTGTGAATGTATCCGTGTATTTCTGATCATACAGGTGAATGCAGAAAGTGATCAATGTGTTTGGTGCAACAATATTTAAATCAGCTGTGGTGTGTGACAGTCTGAGTTTATCAGATAGTTTATAGATGAACTCTTGGTTTTTAAAGGAGCATTTATCAGAGTTCACAGTGATGAAAATATGCAGCTCTGAATATAATTGTTAACCTAAACATGTTTGATTATTTGAAACATCAGCAGCTGTCAGTTCATTTCATGACTCCCAGTAGAAACTCACCATCTTTAACTCTGATCTCAAACTCTGAGTATGATGGTATGAAGAAGACAGATCTGAGCAAACCACAGCTGTATCGTCCTGAGTCAGACTCAGTCAGATTTGTGATGTTCACATTCAGAGTTGTATACGATGCTGGATAAAATCCTTCTTCATATTTGATGCTGTATCGACCTCTCTGAGCTGTGGTCTCATCTGTGTCAATGAGAATGTCTCCATCTTTACATTCTTCCTTACAGAAGAGCCTTCTTCTTCCAGACAACTTGAAGTTACACACAACTGTGATGTTTCCTCCTTCAGTTCCTGTAAGGATGGAGTTTTGTGCATTGATGAGATCAGTGTCCCACAGTGCTGCTGAAAAGATGAACAATCAATAGTTATTATCTTTACTTTACATAAGATGTTGCAGTCTGATGTGTTTCACAGTTACACAGATCATTCACAGATCTACAGAGTCACACCAAGATAAACTGTCCAGTTCAACCAGTCTGTGACTGAGGCCTAACAATTTAATACAACACAAATTTGATTTAGAGTCTTTCAACAAAGATTTCCAGCAACAGAATCATCGTTGTGACTCTGATTTGATGTTTCACAAAGAAAAAATAAACAACTCTGTGAATGTAAAGTGCATCAGTTAGATCAAGACAAAATGCAAGGTCAGCTTTATTAATAATAATGATAATAATAATATGTTGACTGCAGGACTTTTACTTGTAACAGAGTATTTCTACACTGCAGTATTTCTACTTTTACTTGAGTACAAGCTCTAAGTTCTTCTTTCACCACTCAGTGACTCTGAACAAACTCTGATCACCAAGTTTAACCACAGAAACCAACCACATGTTGGTGGACTGATACAAGACGTGATGAAACAGAGTCACTCATGAGAAACTGTTTCCCATCTGCTGCAAAGTTTAACTGACCGACTGTAAATGAATAAATAAAATAAAAGAAGACATAATGAGCAGAGAGAATGATAGAAATAAAAAGTGAATGTACTCACAGAGGAAGAAGAAGCAGATCAAAGTCTGACAGACGTTCATGTTTGAGGCTCTTATGGTTTTACGCTGCCTCTCTTTCTTCTCTTTCTTCTCTTTCTTCTTCACTGGCAAACCAGGAACTTGTCACTTCTCTAAATGATGGAGTCCCTCCTCCAAACACATCACACACTCAACTCTTCTCTCCTCCCTTCTACATTACATTTTTACCATCCTATATGGAACACACTACCTATAGTGGCATATACAAGTTTGGGCACCTCTGGTCAAAATTTAGTTTACTGTGAGTGGTTAAGTAAGTAGAAGATGACCTGATCTCCAAAAGGCAAAAAGTTAAAGATGGAACATGATTTTAAACATTTCAAGCAAGATTAGTGTTTTACTTTGTTTGTACAATTTTAGAGTGAAATAAACAACATTTCTTCAACATTTTAACCAAGATTAAGTTTTAATTTAAATCTTTTACGGTTTCAAAATAACAAAAAAGCAAAAGGGTCTGAAGCCAAAGTTTGGGCACCCTGCATGGTCAGTGCTCAGTAGCGCCCCCTTTGGCAAGTATCACATCTTCTAAACACTGTGTGTATCCAGCTCAGAGTCTTTCAGTTCTTGTTTGGAGGATTTTCACCCATTCTTCCTGCAAAAGGCTTCTAGCTCTGTGAGACTCTTGGGCCGTCTTCATGCTCTGATCTCTGAGGTCTATCCACAGATGTTTAATGATGTTTAGGTCGGGGGACTGTGAGGGCCATGGCCAAACCTTCAGCTTGCTCCTCTTGAGGTCGTCCATTGTGGATTTGGAGGTGTGTTTAGGATCATTGTCCTGTTGTAGAAGCCATCCTCTCTTCATCTTCAGCTTTTTTACAGATGCTGTGATGTTTGCTTCCAGAATGAATCCATTCCTCCCTCTACCTGTGAAATGTTCCCTGTGCCACTGGCTGCAACACAAGCCCAAAGCATCATCCATCCTCCCCCGTGTTTAACAGTTTGTTCTCCAAACATACCTTTGCTCATTGCGTCCTGAAGTTCTATTTTAACTTCATCAGTCCACAGGACTTGTTTCCAAAAAGCATCAGGCTTGTTTCAATGTTCCT